TTCGAAAGACTCCCTTAGTATGTTTTGATGATGGGGGTTGAGAGCGTGGTCTAACATGTCAGTCCAAAATCTCTAAGAGGTCAACTGGATTAAGGTCTGGTGGTGTGAAGACCATAGCATTTGATTCACTTTAATGTCATATTCATGAAATCTGGTGCTCTATTGATGAGGGCATCAATATCAGAGTATCCACTGCCCTGCACATCTTTATATACACACACACACTGATCAGGCATAACATTCTGACCACCTCCTTGTTTCTACGCTCATTGTCCATTTTATCAGCTCCACTTACTATATAGGTGCACTTTGTAGTTCTACAGTTACAGACTGTAGTCCATCTGTTTCTCTGATACTTTGTTAGCCCCCTTTTACCCTGTTCTTCAGTGGTCAGGACCTCCATGGACCCTTACAGAGCAGGTACTATTTGGGTGGTGGATCATTCTCAGCACTGCAGTAACACTGATGTGGTGGTGGTGTGTTAGTGTGTGTTGCGCTGGTATGAGTGGATCAGACACAGCAGTACTGCTGGAGTCTTTAAACACTGTGTCCACTCACTGTCCACTCTATTAGACACTCCCACCCTGTCAGTCCACCTTGTAGATGTAAAGTCAGAGACGATAGCTCATCTGCTGCTGCACAGTTTGCGTTGGTCATCCTCTAGTCCTTCATCAGTGGTCACAGGACGCTGCCCACGGGACGCTGTTGACTGGATATTTTTGGTGGGTGGACTATTCTCAGTCCAGCAGCGACACTGAGGTGTTTAAAAACTCCAGCAGCACTGCTGTGTCTGATCCACTCAGACCATCGCAATGCACACTAACACACTGCCACCACGTCAGTGTTACTGCAGTGCTGAGAATGATCCACCACCCAAATAGTACCTGCTCTGTGAGGGTCCATGGGGGTCCTGACCACTGAAGAACAGGGTAAAAGGGGGCTAACAAAGTATCAGAGAAACAGATGGACTACAGTCTGTAACTGTAGAACTACAAAGTGCACCTATATAGTAAGTGGAGCTGATAAAATGGACAATGAGCGTAGAAACAAGGAGGTTTCTTCTAAGAACTCCAACCATCACGCAATTAATTTCTCTTTCTCTTCTCACTGCATTTGATCTGAGCTGCTTAGAGCGGAGGATAAAACTACATCATTACCAGGGGTCAAGCTGTGACATGACAAGACACAGCATGAACTCTGGATTCATCAGAGGCAGATTAGTGCACCGGCTTCTCACAAAGTTTGACACTGTCTGTTCTGCCAAAATCGACCGCATCTGTCGTACTGCATTCAGATCCTATTACCAAACATGCCAGGCTAATGTAGAGGCTGAGGCCGGCGGTAGCTGAGAGCACTGAGGCTTATTTTAAATATGAGCTTTGAGTGTATGACTGTTTTCTGAATTCCTCTGTCTACAAACAACAGGGCAGAAACACAGTGTTTACAGTACGGAGACGTCCTATACCAGTATATGCTAAGCAGTTTGCCTTTTGCTTATTTTGTGTGCTTCATTCATGGTATCAGGACTTGACAGTTAAAGGACGAATATCCTACACTTTATTTTATTTTGTTTCCACTTTTATGCAGATCTAATTCATTTTTATGTGGCCGTTTTATTCCTATAATCAAACAAGTTGTTTTTTGTTACTGTGCCTTTAAGACTGATTATACACCAATCAGGCATAACATCATGACCACCTCCTTGTTTCTACACTCATTGTCCATTTTATCAGCTCCACTTACTATATAGGTGCACTTTGTAGTTCTACAGTTACAGACTGTAGTCCATCTGTTTCTCTGATACTTTGTTAGCCCCCTTTTACCCTGTTCTTCAGTGGTCAGGACCCCCATGGACCCTCACAGAGCAGGTACTATTTGGGTGGTGGATCATTCTCAGCACTGCAGTAACACTGATGTGGTGGTGGTGTGTTAGTGTGTGTTGCGCTGGTATGAGTGGATCAGACACAGCAGTACTGCTGGAGTCTTTAAACACTGTGTCCACTCACTGTCCACTCTATTAGACACTCCCACCCTGTCAGTCCACCTTGTAGATGTAAAGTCAGAGACGATAGCTCATCTGCTGCTGCACAGTTTGTGTTGGGCATCCTCTAGTCCTTCATCAGTGGTCACAGGACGCTGCCCACAGGACACTGTTGGCTGGATATTTTTGGTTGGTGGACTATTCTCAGTCCAGCAGTGACACTGAGGTGTTTAAAAACTCCAGCAGCACTGCTGTGTCTGATCCACTCGTACCAGCGCAACACACACTAACACACCACCACCACGTCAGTGTTACTGCAGTGCTGAGAATGACCCACCACCCAAATAGTACCTGCTCTATGAGGGTCCATGGGGGTCCTGAGCACTGAAGAACAGGGTAAAAGGGGGCTAACAAAGTATCAGAGAAACAGATGGACTACAGTCTGTAACTGTAGAACTACAAAGTGCACCTATATAGTAAGTGGAGCTGATAAAATGGACAGTGAGCGTAGAAACAAGGAGGTGCTCATAATGTTATGCCTGATCAGTGTATGTCGTGATGATAATAATAATAATAATAATAATGATGACTATTTGTATGTAAATGACCCTTGTTCTGACTGGCTGCTCTGTATTGTGTCTCCTTCAAAAAGCAGTCCAGGCTGAATTAGTCCTTATATCTTCAGTGTAAATCTAACATAAATTTAGTGTAAATTTAGGCTAACCTGCTGTAAGCTAAACAGGTGGATACAAATGTAAAGTAGTCAGTTTCCGTGATATATATGGACTGTATGAAATGGGGAGTGAACCATTTGCCACTGTACACTGTTGATTGCGTACATCGTTTACATACTACATCAATTTTTCCACGGAAAATTTGTTTTTCTCATGATATGGGCCCTTCAACTGCAGTGTATTTTATTACTAGTTGCTTGCTAAGTGTTTCTGATTGTTAGAAATCCTAAAGAACAGTTTAAAATCCATACAATGAAATAAATAAAAGCTTTTCTATCTGGAAATGTGTTTTCTCTATGGTTAATGTTTACAATACTGTAGTTTTTGTGAGAAAAAGGAAGAAAATTCAATTTAAACATGCAACAACAAGTATTTAGCAATCATGATTTCATTAATGTATTAATGCTACTATTAATTTTATTAAAGGGAGCTTAAATATCATCCGATACGGATATATTTGGAAAATATCATGATAATGAGTTTAATCTGTTTCAATCCCAGTTTATGAAGCCTTATAACTCTGTTGGTGAACTATGGCTTTACATGCTGATCTGAGACCAGTCTGGCACTTTTATAATGACTAAGATTGATAAGGTAAACAAGCATAAATAGTCTTAATATTTTATTTAAATCTAAAATAACCATTTTGCAGCACTGTTGCTCTGCCTGCTAAGAAGCTTGGACGCTCTTCCACAACACTGTAAAGTGATCCACTGAGCAGCTGTCAGCATAAGGCAAGTGCTTATTATACCGCTCCAGTGTTCAACCGCACCAGTGGAGCCAAACGGACGTGACTGAGCTGGGTTACTCATCAACTGTAACATGAGAAGTCCTGTTAGGTTAGTGCGCTCTTAGCCAAATGGTCTTTGCAGTGCTGTCCGTAAGGATCGGGCAGTGGTGGACGAAGTACACAAAAGATGTACTTGAGTTAAAGTAGAGATACCCAAGGTTAAATATTACTCCAGTAAAAGTAGAAGTTCCTCCCTTTAGACCTCCACTTGAGTAGAAGTATAAAAGTATTTTCCCTCAAATGTGCTTAAGTATCAAAAGTGAAAGTACTAAAAGATTAATTATGACTTTAATGTCCTATTATCATTTTTATAACAAGACTCACTTCATTAACTCAGTTTAGGTGAAAATACTCCAGTGTCTCTCTTGGTAAACCAGTCTTTTGATAGAATGTCATTAATTAGTGACGCTGATGTCTATTAAAATTATCATAAGCACAAAACACTGAAGGCAAACAGTTTCCATCAGGTAGAACTGAGTGGCTCTGAAATCACTTTTTACAAACAAGCAAAGTTTCAGTTTAAGATTTATTTGTAACTTAGTTACAAGTTTAAGTTTAATAAAAACTTTAAACTCAGATTCACAAATGAGTCTCCTTTACTAAACTGCATCTGTAGGTCTCTGTTCATAAACATAAACTAGACAAAACTAATTTACTATAAAATGAAATAGTGTTTGTATAAATTCAGAAAAAAGACACGTCAGTCACAACTGCATATGTGTACATATTTCTATATTGTGGTCCCACGAAGTCGAGAGCAATATGTTATATCTGTTCACTAATTCTTTGATGTGTGAATGTCAGTCAGTGTTCGCATTAACCCCGCCCTGCTTTACCTGCTCAAGTGACCTAAGTATAGTGTGGATATGCTTGGTATGTCCAACAGGTCAAAACAAGCTCAAAACAAAGTGCGCTGTGCCCTGATTGGTGTTTTTGCTTCGCGCTTCTTTCGTTTTGACATGTTACGTTTTTATGCACACATAAACCAAAAGGAACGACAGATTTTGCATAATGTAGTGGAGTAAAAAGTGAGATATTACAACAGAACACAGCAGAACGAGGACGCCTTGTATCACCACTCATACAACACCTAACAACCGACAATTAAATTGAAGCACAGCACAACCCAAAATTACAAATCCTCTTCAGATTCTCTGTTCAGCGACAGACGGGAATGTGCTAAATATTCCGCTCACAGAAAGTCCAGATTCAAAAGGCTCATTTTCACCAATGTTTCCCTTTTTAAAAATAACCCTCTGATAGAAGCTCTTCAACTTTTAATTACATCTCCAGGGCAATAATCACCACCACGTAAGATGATGAATGAAAGTATGTCAGCATTAAATGAAATGACATAAATGGATCTCAGGTAATTAACTTCTGAGCCTGAACAGCCTATTGGCTGAACTGCTAAGTGATCAGAAACAGCAGAAGAGCCAACGCCTGAAGACTGTTTAATAATGTTTGTATGTCATTCTGAAACATGGCTACTTACGATTTGTCCCTTCTGTGAAGGTGCTGTCGTCTTTGGGGGCTCACGCCTTGCCGTCGGCGGGGTGATAAGGACTTCCCTCTCGCCCTCTCCTTAATTGGCGACTGGGCACTTGACGACTTCAGTATCTGCAACAGAAGCATTCATTTCAAAACAAACCAGAAAACAGCATCTGAATATACCAGAGACGGGCACTCGAGTCACATTATGACTCACGACTCCGACTCAAGAAACAAGAATCAAAATGTAAGTGAAATTTCAGCCTGAGCAAAAAACAAACAAAACGGATTAAATTAGAACCGCCAACGTTAATGCAGTAAACGGATGAAACCTTTTTAACCTTGTGTTTCAGATCTGCTATGGTCTTTACAGCTTTAAATAACGAGGCTCTTATTCTAGAAAAGCACTATATGCAATAAAGGCGGTAGTTAAAGGAAAAAGACAAAACAACTTGAAAGGACTGCCTATCATGTAGTTTGGATAGCAAATATGCCAACTAGTGCTATTCTAGGGTTTCAGTCATGTGATTTTTCTGTTGTGGCTGCCAGATTAGGGACCGAATTTCTGGCTTAGCTGCTCTGCATGAAGGTAACTTATGACGGCATTTTAGGGCCACTGTTAATAAAAATAAAAATAAGAGACTTCAAAAATAAAGACGGCATATTTCGAGAACAAAAGTCGTACTATTTAGAGAAAAAAGACAGTTTCCTCCGAGTCCGTCTGGCTCTTTATTCTAGATAAACACAGTTTCCTGCTCAGCCGTTTCAGCCGGTTCTTATCCTAATAACAGGCTGGTGCTGATGTGCAGGAGAGACAGGGAGGCTGAGTGTTTCTTTAGGGGTGAATCGATATGAACGTAGAACTCCACCAACTCACCGCCCCTCATTTAACACCAGGAGGTGCTGCTTCCCTTTACAAAGCCTTTGATCACAACATTGCAACGTTTCCTTTCCTTTTTTCTCAAAATGTTGTGACTTTTTTTCTCTAAATATTATGACTTTATTCTCAAAATATTACGACTTTATTCTTGAAGTCTACTATTTTTTATTTTTTAATTAACAGTGGCCCTAAACGCCGTCGTAGTAACCGGCCCGGACGCTATATCTTGGCTCCAAAGTGTGCAACATAGCGCGAAAGCCCTGGTTCGCAACAACTGAGAACTGGCGTGCAGACTGCAGGTCACAGAGCAACGCAGTCTCGCCTCGCTAGTAGCTCACGAAAAGACAAAGAGAGAGATTTAAGACGAACATTTGGAGATTAATGGACTTCATATTCATAAGCAGGGCAGTTGGTTTCCTGGTACATTAAACCTGAGAGACTGTCAAACACTAAAAGGTTGCGAAGATGAAGTCGCTTCTCTTTCGAATTGTCCCACTCCACCTTAAATGGAGATGAGAGGAAAGCGGCTATAGCTGAGCTAAAGCTTAAAGCACAGCAAAGTCAGTCTGTGTTGTCGTTTATATTGTTTAGCCTATACTAGGACATCAACACATACTGAGACATACTGGACATTAATATGTTGTGGCTCCAAAGGTGGTTTGATTTTTGTTGAAAGGACAAAATGGCTCTTCTTAACATTTGTGTTGTGACTCCTGACCTAACCTGGCTTTAATGCAGAGGGAGCCGGTCAGATTTCTCACTCATCCCATTGTGTTTTTGTTATGTGCCGCCACAGACTGTCCGGACGCTGCACTTCCGCACTTCCAAGTTCCGCCTTTTGCGTTCCGTCAACATTACGTTATAAATTGAATATTTAGAAAATCGATTTTTGACATTTGTGAATCGATTCAGAATCGTCCACGTCCGCATCGCGATGCATCTAAGAATCGAGTTTCCCCCACCCCTACTAGTAAGTATCAATGCCATACAGCAATATTACTAAACTTTTCTTGATCTGCTCACTGTTGCGCAACTCATCTCCTTCGGCCGACACCACTTCCGAAGATTCCATTCATATAATGAGGCCGACAGAAATTTCACCACAGGTGTCGGAGTCTGAGAGTACTGACTATCATCAACTCCACTGGATTCCAATCCAAAAGACTGATGGGGCCAATATGCAGTTTAATAAAGGCAAACGGTCTGCATCTATTTCACACCACGGGGAGTGGAGCCATTAAGGGTTCCCCACGCATCTCCTCTCAGTAGCAACCCTGCTAGCAGATGGAGATGAAGACTTCGCCCCTAAAGGCAGCTCATTAGCCTGCTGATGCACATCAACCTAATCTAGTTGCCTGTCGATTCATTAAAAAAATCAAAAAACTCAATTTCCCTATATACCTCACATGGGAGGATAGCAAGCGAGGAGCTTTAGCAATGTCTTCAGGGTGACTGCCGGAAGCTCAGAGGAAGGTTCATTTTTGATATCCACTCAGAACATATTGCATTCACGAGAGATGCTGGGATTTCAGGATGCGATGCATTTCCTGCGGTGAATATGTGGAAAAGGGAGGCATTTTCCTTTCAACGTTTCTCCTCCACTGTGTGCTAAAGGGTTTAAAAGCAACCAGTCATGTTTTGCTGGCTAGTAAGTGTCAAAAGTATAAACTTTAAAACATGCTTGTTCCTGTTTGTCCATATAATGAAATATTTTAACCTCTTCAACTCCTTGGGACCACCGGTGGTTCCAAAACGCACTTTATCATATTCTTCATAACTTTCATATTTCATAAGCTACATTCAAAAGGTGGGGGTCGTATGAGGCTGTAACTGTCTTCTTTCCAGTCAAATAGATGGTGATGTAGTTTTAAACCCTAATAATAAAAGAAGCTGAACTCACAAATATTTTTTTTCACAAATCTGGGCTATAAACTATAAACAGATGGCGTCTCTTCAGTGATCTGCTCTGTAGAAATTATTTTTATAAATAAATACAAAGATTTTTGGCTTTCAGCAGTAAATTGTAAGTATACAGCAATATGTGTATGATCATAAAACACATGTTCTGTTATTTTTGAGGGGGCTAAATAAATAAATAAAATAAAAATATACATTCATTTCATGCAGTTACTGAATAATTTGCCTTATGATTTGGTCATGGAAATTCAGATGGACAAACCAAAATATACCCTGGTGATTCTGTGCAAAGGACAGAAATTCCTCAGCATCCATAAAAAGAAACCTGCGTTCTTCATTGACATCTGGGGTCCAGTTTCCACTCTCTGGTCACGTGATCTACACAAACTATGCTCAGATGACTGCGGTCAGCGGCACGGTTCTGATTTAGGGAAAACATGGCCTACTTTTCATTCCCTACTGTCGAGGACTGTTATAGTCACAGCTACTGATCCCAGAACAGTCCGGGGATTTTATTCTTCCTGGAATATTAAGAGAAACGGAAACAGACTGGCAGGTTTTGAGTCAGAGATTGAAATACGTCTATTCGGTGAAGGACGAGTCTGGGGAGATGTGGTCCAAATACCACGGCTGTATTTCACATGAGGGGTAATCTGACCTTAATTAGCACTGACAGCCCAAATGAAGGCGACATATCGCCCTGCTTACTGTGGGGACTGTAGGGGAATTCACAGCCAGATTCACAGTCACAAAATAAAAGACACAAACCTCAACAGTTAATACTAATGGATACTTATAATATATCCATTAAAAAAGCTAATAGTGATATTAATTAATGAAAGCCAGTAATTGTAAATGGCCATTTAGCATTTTATGAGTGAGATCAGGTAATTAGTTCCCACCAACTTTCATTCCTTTTTGAATGACCCAAGTGTATCAGATGATAACCTGAGCTCCTTCATTCAACTTGAAACTACAGAAAGCATTTACAATTCAAATTAAACATAACTTAATAAAACCTTTAGCAATACAGTCTGAGCCTAGGGCTGGGCGATATGGCCAAAAAATGTTATCATGATAAAAAATCATTCGATATCGATACATATCGTGATAAATTAAATCATTATTTCGTTCAAGTTTGAAGGTTGCTTTTTTGCTCCTGAGTGGTCTGTTGCTGTTTTAAACCATCCTTTATGGTCAGAATATGACAAACACTCACCAAACAGTGGAACATTTCACAGATATGTCATGGGACAGTGGGAGAAAGTTTCTGATCAGCTGTTTTTACCAGATGGAAAAGCACGGCCGCGGTTTTTGTAATATTCATAATTTAAGATAGAATACAGATTATTTTATCTGTCTGGTGACGAGCGCTGGGCTACCTGGTTACACGTTTTAAACTGTTCAGTTTCTCAAAAACATCAGCTTAATATGAACAGCAAACATTAGCTGGCTCAGTACGTCAGTGATGGATCACACTGCCTCACTGCCGTCACTCCTACCACATCCCTGTCAGAGCATATCACTGTATTCAGACACCAGCTAGCGACGGCTGGGCTTCTCCATTCTATCATAGTAGTTTGACAGTTTGAGGGGTGAACCGTAATAAATCTGACGCTCACTGTGTAAAAGCATTAACTGCAGTGTGAATCTCTCACACCAGACAAACAGAGTCCTCCTTTTAGGAACGTTTAAACTGAAATCAGGTCTTTTTGTCTTGTTTGATCTACAGTAACATCAGTTCGCCGTGCTGTGTGAGTGACAGCGCTGCTTCAAGTTAGCCAGCTGCTAAAAACAGCTAGCCTGGGAAGCTATAGCGTTCTCCCACTCTCAATGTCTCGCATACAGCATCCTCAGTTTACTGTCGTTTAAATCAGTGCAGCTCTTTCACTTTTCGTTGCTTGTGAATGCACTAATACTAAAATATGACTGAGCGCTGTAACAGTGCTGTAGTTGTGAGGAGCAGACGTGATTTAACGCTGCTAAAGGTGGTTAGGATTTCAGTAAAGAGGTGCGTTCACTGTAGGACAGTACAGTTACGCCACTGATCTCGTCACTCACACTCGGTCACAGGAGAACAGATCGCCGGTCGCTCCACTCAGACAGGGAATATATACCTCCACGTTTCAGATGTTGCTAAAGTATATCTGGCGACTCATTTTACTCCTTGACCCCCGTCCCTCTCTAATCATGTTGAAAAACTGGGAAGTGGGCCCTCTTGTGGCGACAGCAGAGCAGTGTCGCTTTCCTTTCAGTAAAAAAAAGCCACCAGGGTTCTCGCCAGAACGCTGAAGTGTGAGAACTCTCTATTATATCGAACATCGCGGACAGTTATATCGCGATAATTATCGTTATCATTATATCGACCAAGCCCTATCTGAGGCCAAGCTGATCACCGGGTGGTTTCTCACCTTCATCCTCATGTCACGGCCGTGTTTCTCCAGCTCCTTGCGCATGTCTTCGCGGCCCTGCCTGCAGGGGTTGAGCACCAGGTACTTCCACTCGATGGGCTGGAAAACGTGAGGGTTGTGAGGCACGTACAGGCCAATCTTCACCTTCTTCATGGTGTGCTGGTAACGGCGGTAAGAGTCCTCAAACTCGAAGACCAGCTCGCTGAGCGTGCGGAAGCTCAGCGCCTTGTCCATCAGGTCAGCGCGCCGGCTCATGCCCAATGTACCGTAGCGGCCATTGCAGTAGACGCCCAGCACCACGTGGTGGAAGTGGTGACCGGAGAACTGTGTCTTGAAGCTGATGGGAAAGCGCTCCACTGAGGTCAGGCCATTGGTTAGGTAGCTGAGAAGGAGGTCAAGGATTCTGTATTAACAACCAGCTTCTAGAACACTGTTAGATGTGGGTCTATGATGGTAAGACACCTTCACTTGGACTCAGAATGTCATGGAGTTGATCCTGGATCATGGCTACTGTCATCATAGTCTTGAGCAAAGTTTTTTTTTTGATGCAAGATGCATATCTAAATATTTGTGCCCCTTTTCTAAGCTATATTATGGATATCAGTATTTAAAGAACACTGACCAACTGCACGTTTCATTATGAAGAGACCATAATTAGTTCTATTTAATCTGATTTATTGCAGTTTATACAACAGTTAGTTCCGGCCATGCAAGCTGATTGGTTGAGAGGCGTTCTAACTGTGCTGTTATTTCGCCATAACATCACAGGTTTTTTCACAAACACTGTATCACTCCGCTGAGACGCCGTTGCTAAGCAATGCCTTGGACAGCTGTAGGAGACGCTCAAGACATTTGAACATTTTTTATTTCTTACTTTGCCACAAACAGAAAACGGACACTTTTAAGATCACATTTGACCGACAGCCGATTTGGTCAGACTCTGAAGATGAGACGACACTAAATACCCAAACTGTCATCACCACTGAGCAGCTTTTCAGTCAGCAGCTGTGACAGAAGAACAGCTGAACAACCTGGAATCAGCCAGAAATGAACCCAACACCATTCGCCAAACTAAATAGGCTGTAAGATGCTTTACAGACTGGCTGGAACAAAACAACATTAATACTGATCTGGCAAAAACTGACAAAACTGAGTTGAACTTGATATTGCGGCAGTTTTATGGCTCAGTCTGATTTGGTCAGACTCTGAAGATCAGACTACACGTTTGGCGAATGGTACTGGGTTCATTTCTGGCTGATTCCAGGTTGTTTAGCTGTTCTGTCACAGCTGCCGACTGAAATTGGGAATTTAGTGTAAGGAGCTGGAGAACGAACTGCCGGCTGTGCAGCGAGTGGGCGGAGCTCGTTACTCTGACGTAGCAACAAGCTGCTTGTTAAGGAACTATAATTTGGCGGAAGGAACTGCGAACATTAAAACATATTAAACGCCGCGTTCACGGCCCAGTTTATTAATTTATTACTTAATTTATTTAACTGTTGTATTAAAGCAATAGAACACTCGAGGAGTGTGTTATCGCCAATGACATTATTGCAATGTTATTTCGTGATAACACACTCCCTCTCGTCTTCTATTGCTTGTAGTTTATGAAACGTCAAATAAAAATTATTTATACTATTTATGATAATATTTTATGAAACCTGGCAGTGCATTTTTGTCTGTTCTGGCTCAGCAAACCCTAAATATCATCACACGTATTGTGTATCGTGAAAATGTCTGCAAGTATCATGATGTTATATTTTTGACATATTGCCCACCTTTAATGAACTGGCAACCCTATATAAATAAGATTAAGCTAACAGAACTATACTAGCTTTGATTCATTCAGACTGACATTTTTGGGGGAAGCATTGCCTCAAAACACTGTATGACAGTAGAGGCAGCTGCTGCTGCTAATCTCTGATGGTGTCAGCTGTTCCAGGACGTTGAGTTCCAAAGACAAAAGTTCACTCTTTCTCTGGTCCTTGCTTTTTTTTGCCATTGTTGTGTTGCAGAAAACTTTGGCGTGAATAAAGTTCAGCATCAATAAAGTTCTATCTATTTAACATACTAGAGCTAGAAAGCATGGGTAAAACATATTTTAGCAAAACACAGTGATAATGTAATAGGAAAGATGCTAATAATTAAGAGGGGAATGGAAGCATCATTCATTACTACTTTGGCATTCACCAGCCAACAAACACAGCGGTGAATAAGCAAATAAGTGATGCAAGTTGGGTGCAAAGTGTTGTAAATGCCTCATGAATAGGCAACTGTTCTGTAGCACTGCCTTTCTGCTAGCTTCCCAGACATACCCTCCTATATTCCTCAGCATAACTGGTTCTAACAAAAATGATAGTGTAGAACTGCGACAGGTTATCTGCAAACATTGCCACAGAGTGGAATTAACATTGAAAAGAAATGCTTTAAATCTCTTTTATCATTCATGAAGCAAAGTGCCCATTTTTATTTGTGATGCTTCAGCCAAACAGGCTACCTACTGATTAGAACCACCTTCAATTCAGTCAAATTATACTCTATCAAAAGGCTTCGTCTGACTGGCTACTGGCAGAGAGAAGCAGATTTGAATGAATCCATTTATGATTTTAATTTTCTAATCAGAGCTGCCAATCCAGCTGTACTAAAACTATCAAACAAGAACATCAATGTAAGTATCAGTGAGATATTTGATCACTGCCCAGCTCTACTACATAAATCTTCATCAGTTTCTTTAGTCTAAATATAAACTTATATTCCACAAAGCAAACAGCGCTTCACAGACGTCCAACCCCAGAATTTCAGGATAAAGCCTGCCCTGCCATCTCAACAGCAGAGGTAGCAGGAATGGGACCGTAGTGGGTCAGCAGACACCAGGCTAGACGGCTCTTTCCCTTGGGCCCGGTGCTGTGTTGTCTGCCGTATCTTGCCTATGGTCTTATGTAACTGCTGTCAGTGCTCACTGCAGCATGGATGCACATGATGCGGCAGCCCTGCCACGAGGAATAATCCAGACACTGAGGCAGGCTTATCAGAGGACATTCACGCCAAAGTTTCCTGCAACAAAACAAAGGCGATAAAAAGCCAGCATGGACCAGAGAAAGAGAACTTGTCTCTGAAACTCAACGTCCAGGAACAGCTGACACTGTCGGCTCAACGTCCAGGACGTCCAACTCAACATCCAGGAACAGCTGACACCGTCAGAGATTAGCAGCAGCAGCCGCTTCCCCTGTTATAAAGTGATTTGAGGCAATGCTTCCCCCAAAAATGTCAGTCTGAATGAATCAAAATTAGTGCGGTTCTGTTAGCTTAATCTTATTTATATAGGGTTGCCAGCTCATTAAGGGTGGGCAATATGGCCAAAATATAACATCATACACAATATGTATGATGGAGTTTTTCTGAGGTTTGCTGAGCCAGAACAGACAAAAATGCACCATCAGATTTCATAAAATATTATCAAAAACTATAAGTATAAATGATTTTCATTCAACATTTCACAAACTACACTGCAATAAAACAGATTAAATCGGACTAATTATGGTCTCTTCATAATGAAACGTGCAGTTAGTCAGTGTTCTTTAAAGACTGATATCCACAATATACTGTGATATAATTTATTATGATAAAAAATCATCATAATAATGATAAAAATCATCATACTGAGTATAGGTAGAGTATAGGTAGAGTATAGGTACACCTAACCTATACCTACACTTGTTAGCTATTTTAAAGCTCAGCCACACTGCGAAAGGGGAGAGCGGGACACAAACGAACATTTAGATAATTTGCTTATTAATTTTAAAAGAATTTGTGCAAAATTAATAATTGTATTCATACTGCCAACCTGCACATGTCTGCTATAAATGAAAATATCAACATTATTTCCAGCTCCTTCTGTTAGTAAACAATTCAGCTGAAAGCAGAGCAGGTGCAAACGAAGCCATCAGGCAGGGCTAACTGACAGATAGAGGGCCTTAAAATAAATAAATAAATAAATAAATACAATTAAATGTAATTTGAACCAGACAAACCAACCAAATTACATAAAAATATATACACAATATAAGTACGACTAGTGAAAGGAAGTCAAATGTGTCAAATGTGGCAAATGTATTTGTGACCACAGCAGAGCAGCAAATATCATAAGAATAAAGATGATACATATTTTAGTTACTATATCTGAAGTATGTTGTTGATGAATCTGTGCATAAAATCTTCTAAAAAAAAAACTTTTTGATATCACTATTTACTGTAGTAGACATAGTTAGAACACTGTAACAACTAACTCAGCCACATGGAGGCTGAAAATTAGTCTGGCAAGCTCACATTGAGTTGTTTATACACCTCAAAATAGTGCTATATTAACGCTTTCTGCTCAGGGGTCTCATCTTCTCTCAGACTGAAGGGAGCCATCTTCCACTGACAGGCAGAAACTCGATGACCCCCTCTTTCAATTGGATTGTGATTGGTTCCTAGGCGCCTCACGGTTGTAAAAATATGGCGCTTTGAAATCGGATGAATCTTTTTGAATCACCCTGTATATCTGGTCAGTGGTGGTCCCATGATGTTCCCTTTCCATTAATGTACAGGGTTCAGGGTGGCTAATAAACTGTCCAACAAATTAGCTACAGTCAGTAACTGTAAACCTACTAGATGCACTTACATGGTAGATCTGCCTGATAAAATGGCATGATAAGTAGGCAGGTGTGTGTAATAAAATACTATTAAAGGCTGCGGTAATGTAAAAAAGGGAACAACACTTAGTTGACTGGTTTTCACATATTGTTTTGAATTCCAGCAAGCCAAATACATCCAGCCTTTCAGCTTCCTAGAGCTGCTGAAGTGACAAAATGCTTCTTCTCCACAAGCTGCAATTAACTGAATTACAACAGCCACATTTGTTGTCGGCTGTCAGTTGGTCTGCGTTGTTTTCCCGGCCGTGAACAAGCTGCTAATTCAGGCAAGAATGTACACAGCAGATCTGCTGCGCTAGTCCACAACACATGGGCCTGGACGACTCTGCCGCACCGTAGCTCTACCATCTGTTCCGGCAACATGTGATCAACTCTGGGAGTGCCTACCAAGTGTCCACACACATATATGCCTGCTCACCACTCCAATGCACCACACGCAAGTCTTAAAGCTCAAACCACAGCTCATCAACAGCTCTGCACATTTACAGTGAGAAATATACACCGATCAGGCATAACATTATGACCACCTCCTTGTTTCTACGCTCATTGTCCATTTTATCAGCTCCACTTACTATATAGGTGCACTTTGTAGTTCTACAGTTACAGACTGTAGTCCATCTGTTTCTCTGCATACTTTGTTAGCCCCCTTTTACCCTGTTCTTCAGTGGCCAGGACCCCCATGGACCCTCACAGAGCAGGTACTATTTGGGTGGTGGATCATTCTCAGCACTGCAGTAACACTGACGTAGTGGTGGTGTGTTAGGGTGTGTTGTGCTGGTGTGAGTGGATCAGACACAGCGGTGCTGCTGGAGTTTTTAAACACTGTGCCCACTCACTGTCCACTCTATTAGACACTCCTGCCTTGTCAGTCCACCTTGTAGATGTCAAGTCAGAGACGATAGCTCATCTGCTGCTGCGCAGGTTGTGTTGGTCATCCTCTAGTCCTTCATCAGTGGTCACAGGACGCTGCCCACAGGACACTGTTGGCTGGATATTTTTGGTGGGTGGACTATTCTCAGTCCAGCAGTGGCACTGAGGTGTTTAAAAACTCCAGCAGTACTGCTGTGTCTGATCCACTCACACCAGCACAACACACACTAACACACCACCACCACGTCAGTGTTACTGCAGTGCTGAGAATGATCCACCACCCAAATAGTACCTGCTCTGTGAGGGTCCATGGGGGTCCTGCCCACTGAAGAACAGAGTAAAAGTGGGCTAAGAAAGTATCAGAGAAACAGATGGACTACAGTCTGTAACTGTAGAACTACAAAGTGCACCTATATAGTAAGTGGAGCTGATAAAATGGACAATGAGTGTAGAAACAAGGAGGTGGTCAGAATGTTATGCCTGATCGGTGTAATACAAAACAGAATATACAGATATTAGCAGGGTTGCAACTACATGAAAGAGAACACAATCATAAAAAAGCCTGTTATAATACATAGTTTTCTGAATGGAGGCTATTATAGATGCAAATGTGTAAGTGAGGTCCACTGAACTACAAAACCATTAGAAGCAGATGGAAACAAGCTAACTGAGGAGTCTGTAAATGTGTGGATTCAGTAGTTGCGAGACATTCAGCAGCGCAGTAAGCGCACACACTACTTGCTAATGAGTGAGCTACAGAGGATCACGTTACTGATCAGCAGAGCCACGTGGTTCCGCAGGGCAGCACCACTGTGAATTTCAACATTCTCATCTGCAAGGCAGGCCCTCTCTTACCTGCTGGGATTTACTGTTGCCATAGAGACGGCACACGTCAAAGTGATTAACACTGTCTGTATTTACAAATTCTACTCTGCAGTACAAGCACCTTTTTCCAAAATGCGAAGACATATTTAATTTCATTTGTTTCGCAGCCGTTATGCAGAATTTGGGAAGGTACTTACTGTTTTGGTTCTTGTTAGGGGTGCAATAATATGAAATCTGTATTTTATATATCGTCGCTGTCCAAAGAAAACCTCCAATTTTGTCGATACTTTTTTTTTTTTCATTTATTTTCATTTTAGCACACCAGCTGTCCTTTACATTGTGTGAAAATGGCATGATGAATAGACCAATAGAAATGATCTAAAATCACTTGGAGTAAAATCACTTTACATTAACTTACATTGAAAAGTAAGAGTGTTTTTGGTCTCTCCTATAAAGTTACTATTTTGGAGATACTTGTTTTTTTTTGGACAGCGACAATATATATGTATGTGTGTGTGTGTGTGTGTGTGTGTGTGTGTGTGTGTGTGTGTGTGTGTGTGTGTGTGTGTGTGTATCTGTTGTCGGAAGAAAACATCTCCAAAATGGTAACTTTACAGGAGAAGGAAAAAATATACTTTACTTTCAATGTAAGTCAATGGAACCAGACTTTTTTCCATGCCATTTTGGGATGTTTCTTTTGGTCCATTCATCATGAAATTTATATACAATGTAAAGGACAACAGGTATTTTCAAATCATGTCAAAAACTGAAAATAATATATTGTCTGATGATCTACTGTGCACCACTAGGCCTGTTATGTTTGTAAAACACACATTTTACTGAGACACGCTAACTGCAATTTACAGCCTTTCTAAAACATCAGTGAAAAATGAGGTCATACCAAGGCTTAACATAATCACCAAACCAGCTGCTGAACTTTTGCGTAACAGTGCTGTTTTACAAATCTAGGATTTTCTGTCAGTGATAACAGTCCCCCCCCCACCACCCCCACCCCTAAAAACAGACAGATTAAAGGACCGTTAGTGGAGCGTGTCTCTGTCTCTGCTCTCGCTGTGTTATCTATAATGGTTAACAGTCTAAGAGTAAAAATGCTGCCTTATCTCCTGCTTTGAACTCAGACTTAAGTGAAATAAATGTGTAATAATGTGTAAAATGCACAGATTACAACAGAGGGATGATTCTTTAAACCACATTTTTCTCTAATTATGCTACTCGTTTGCTGCTCATTTGTTATTAGAGTGCGAGATGAACGAAGACATCCCAGTTACAATAAAGCATGTGAATGTTTGCAACAACACCATCTCTACAACATTCTTTTCCTTCTGCTAATGATGCAGGGACTCTCATGATCCTCTGCGATGCTTGTTTCTTTGCAATAAGCTGAAAAACGTTCGCTAAAGCATTGTTTTCACTAATATAATGTACAGTAGCTTTGCGGTGTAATGATATAAGGCTGCACAATATATAATATCATTCACCTTTGCAATATTCGCTTTTGCAATATCACAGATGGCTGAAATATAAAAATGAGCCCTTTATCAATTCACAAAGGTATTATTGTGTGTGCTATGAGCATCACGACCTACCTCAGACTTGAGACGAGCTCAATTTGGTTAAAATAATGCAGTCTGACATATAATGACATTACATTAAGAGTTTAACCAATACGTTTTAATGTATTGCTAGCCATATCTCAAAAAGTACTAATACAATCACAGTGTTTGTCTGTATCATGCAGCCCTACCTCCTACTACAGTGCTTCACCGAGCTCAGACAACTGCCACCCCGGAAGCTTCGCAATATATAAACCTACTGGCCTGATCACTTTATCAACAGTAACAGCTCCTAAAAAGACTCGAGCTCCCGCTGACGCTAAATGGGTCGGCTCCATCCACTGCACGGCAAACCCAGCTATGCCTTCCTATAGGAGCCGACTCTACTGTCACCCCAACTCCTAGTTTCCTAGCAACAGCTGAGCCTGAGAAGCCTGAGGCTGCTGTAAACGGGTGGGGGGTCCATGAAGACAGCGGGTCTTGGTGATTTCAGGCCTACAGCTTTCGCAAAAAAACAGACCTGCCTGCAGTGGTGGTCAAGATGTTATTGTTATTGTGAAAAATTACATGTCTTTGCTTTTACATCCTGTTCTTTGCTTTTCTGGGTGTATCTTGTTTTTCTAGAGCACAACTGGATTTACTATTGTTTAAAGCAATTACAGAGAACCTGTAAACGACAGTATGTTTACAGTAACTGCATAATAATAATTGGCTGATTAGTATTCAGCCCATTATGCTTTACACTTATATTATTCATTTATTTGTATGAGTTGTTTGATTTTTCTTCCCTACAAGATGTTTCTTCTTAAAATCAGCATGAATCAAAAATCATAATGCATTTTTCTTCCATGCCGTGACGTATTTCAGAGTGAAACATGGTGTTAGGGAGGGCCTCTGGGCAAGCTCAATGTTTTTGCTCGTAGGTTGGAGTGGTGGGAAGTCAAATATGATATTACTGGTTAATATTATTTTTCTCCTCCTGCTAGTGCATGGTGATGTAATCAAAAGTCAGTAGACGTTTTCGAGGCAGGCAAAAGTCGCTACTCTTTAATGGAAGATTATGGGAAAACAATAATTTGTCTTTTAAATGTTATGAATTGTGCTTAATATGATCAGGGACATGACCTAACAAGGACAATTTTGATTTCAGACTGACTGTAACAAACAAACAAACAAGTAAATAAATAAATAAATAAATAGATAGATAGATAGATAGATAGATAGATAGATGGATAGATAGATTTACTTTTAATGTACAGTTAATGGAACCAGACGTTTTGGGCAAGTCATTTTGGGTCATTTATTTTGGCCCATTGTTCATGAAATCTACACAGAATGTAAAGGACAACATGCATTTTCAAATTATACATATATAAATATATATATTATTCTTATTTAAATGTTGTCTGAGTCAATGTCAGTCTGAAATCAAATCATACCATAACATTTAAATGACAAAATTCTTGTTTTCCCAAAATGTAGCGACTTTTGCCTGCCTCGAAAACGTCTTCTGATTTCTGATTACATCACCATGCACTAGTTTTTTATAGCCTTACATCTGGCTACTACTCTCAGGCATGTGCCTGTCCCCCGGGCCCTGATGATAGATGCCCAAACTCCGAGTGAGGACGAAGCCCCGCAAGGACGGCGAAGAGAAAACCGCGAGTGAGTGTGGGTGGAGCGCAAAGCTCGGGCACCACCGAGGGACGTGAGTGAAGGCAGGAGGAGGAGGTCGGCCGCGAGAGAGGGGACGACGACGATGACAGCCACGAGAGGCACGAAGGCAGGAAGCCAGTCCCGAACTCCGCCGCCCGGGCCTATGAGCTGTCATTCCCTCCTGGCTCAGCGCCTTGTTAAAAGAACAGAGGGAACAGAGAGAGCGAGAGAGAGAGAAGGACGAGCAGCAGCAGTGACAACAGCTGAAAAGCTCCAGTGATGAACGACTGAAAAGTCTTGCTTGAAGCCTCTGAAAAGTGACCAGTGTAGCTTTGGTTTCGAGTTCTTTGTGTGTAACTAGCAAAGATACTTTCTCTAGGTAGACAAAGCACTTTCTGTAAGTCGCTCTGGATAAAAGCGTCTGCTAAATGCTGTAAATGTAATTGTAAATGTGTTTGTTTAGTGTAGAAAATTAAAGAATATGGCTGCTGCAAACCTAAACCCTGCCTCCAGCGTCCTCCCTGAGCCCAGGGTAGCACACCGCGTGCTACATACTCTTTTGCTGGTATACTTTGCCAATTCCAACTTCTCTAATGCAGAATGGCAAAAAGTAGGCAGTACATCTAAGAAACCTACACAATGATGAAAGGATACATTCCAAGAATAACTGCTTCAAGGCATTTAATGGGAAGGGACTCCCTTATCATTTCTCTGGCAGTCTCCATCAACCTGAAAGAAAGAAAGAAGAAAAGAGGGAGATTAGCCACTGCGCTGACCTCCAATCCTGTCATTAGGTAATCGAACAGTGGACAAACTGTTAAGATAACTGTGATGAAAGGCATCACTTCGTCACTTCTTTAACGTAATCTGGATTTATATACCTCATACCCGTCATCACAAGCTCTAAGCAGTTCACTTAAGGCACATCCTGAGGAAAGGAGCCAAAACACACTGATATCATCCAATATTAACCATCTTAAGCTGCAGGCCTGGATTTAAGTAAAAGGTCTAAAGGCTGAGGTTGACGTACAAGTCATCGGGAAACGGTAATCGCTGCGAACTTGCTGACCAGGTCTTGGCCTTAACATTTAGCCAGTAAATGTTACAGTTCATATCGAGCTTAACATTTATAAACCAGGAAATATCACATTTCTACACCTGGATGGGAAACGAAAAAGGATAAATGGTAAAATACCACACTAAGGCTGAGTGACAGGGCAATGTAATTTAATAAAGCTAAATAATTAACAGGTAATAACAGACAATATAGAAAATAAATAGAGAACTTTAGGCCGAATAACAGCGAAAAAAAATTGAATAATATTTGCATGTAATGTTTAATTCTCTTCATCATTATTTTTCAACATATAAAAAAATAAATAAGACAAAAATAATAATGTAAACTACTGCATGGGCCACATTCTATGTTTTATTTTTTCCCAGTATATTAAGTAAATAAACAGTTGTAATTGTGGATTAAAATATGCAGAAGCGTGTTCTCTGTAGAGGATGTGTTCATTTATTTTCTCTTAGAAAATCAACAAAATGTAGTTTCAACAGGCGCCCAATACGACTTCGCATTCGACTGTCGGCTACGACAGAACAAGAGAGCGTCTGCTCTATGAAAGAAAACGTGTCTCTAATATTTATTTATTTATTTTTAACCCTTGTGTGGCGTTGATGTGTGTGTTACTCAGTGGTCTGCTGGACCCACCGCATTACTGTTTATTAAAATCAATACGGCCATAACAATTTATGTAAAAATACCAGATGTTTAAAATATCACAAGTGTCCAGCGTAGGGTTCTCCTTTAGCAGCTGTAGCCAGTCAGCAGCCTGTCCATGTTGTCCACCCTCACACACACACACACACACACACACACACACACACACATATACAAACACATACACACACAAAGTAACAGCAGGCCATGTAGGAGGAGGACAGAGTGAAGACACTGAAAATGGGTTATTTCATATGTTCTTCACAGAAAATGAGCAAAGACCAAGAATCTGAGGTTGAAATAATAATAAATCACATCATTTTTTCTTTTGGTAATCAGTGAAAATGAGTCCCACAGACCTGAACGCCACACAAGGGGTTAAGCGTGACAGTAATATGGGTGTAATCAGACAAGAAAATGTTGTTAAATACAATTATAGTTATTTTTTGATATTTTATGACTCTACTTAGACTCCAATCCATAGTTCTACAGTGAACATTTAGAGTAATAGTGGTTTTGCTTTGACAGAAAGGAGGATGAGGGCAGGAAAGGAAGTCTCACACACAGGAAATACAGGATGAAGATGCCACAGCAGTGACATCACTTACCCGCACAATGGTCTGGTTTTCCGTATCTCAAAGAACTGTGTTCCTGTGTGGTTGTATCTGTCAGCAGTTAAAGAGCAAGACTCATTCGGCAAGTGGTTTTTCACATGTGCTTTCGCTGTGACTCACTCGTGCACAGCTGAGGACAATATCTTGTTCTGAAGGCCTGTGTTTCTCCTTCTGATTGTACTGTGGAAAATGAGACACTGGGGTAAAGTTAACCCCCCACCACTACTGTTATACTACATCTCTGCTTTTAGCCTTCATATTATAAACAAAGGGCTTTCAGTTTACATTGATTTTGAGTATTAAAAATACCTGATATTTAATATGCAACTCAATTTGTAATTAAAATAAAGCCTGTTTTGCTGTATATCAGAGTTTTAGCACTGAGCAGAAATCCAAGAGGACAGAAAATCAATTAATAAAATGTCTGTCTTATGCTAATTGTTTATTTTTACTCACAATAACCAACAGAATGAATCACCCTCAAAATTATTGCACTTTCAACTCAGAGACACTCCAGAGTAACAATTTCTGAAAAGAAAACTACAACTGCACTTGTTTTCAAGATTTCTATAATTTAAAAATTGCTAGATTTAGGTAAATAAGCTAGGTTTGATCAGAAATGAGCCAAATTCATAAAGATATAAAATTTCTGGTGGCATTTACATGTCAAACAATGGCATATCTGAGCAGCCCAGGGTCTCCTGAAAATAACAACATATGGCATGTGTGACTGTCACATGTAAATACTTCATAATTGCAATTGTAATTGACCCAAAAAATACCAAAAAATCCCTGAAATTTTAAGTTTCTAAGGATTAACTCTTTTAATCCAGGTTTGCTGGCCTCATCCTGCGTATGTGAGCTGGCTAATGCAGTAAACAAATTATTGTATTCCATTATATTTATTAATTAATTTGTTTTTATTTATAGTATTATTTTATTAAGAATACTGTTATTTTAATCTACCAGAGAAACAAGAAGCATGTAGGATCACAGCCAGTGTCACGTTAAACTAAACCAGCAGTCCTAAAAAAGGCACTTCTAGAAACACCAGCTGCCTGAGTGAATTAAACAGAGCGACACTAAAACCCAGCCACTGACACTCAAAGGCAAGCTAGCACCCATGAATGTGTAATGAATGTTGGGGAGGCCACGTTTTAGGCGTAGAAACATGGGCCTGTAAAGGATACTGCAAGTTCTTCATGTAGTTCTGGACGGCGTGGAGCCAGTCAGGTACTGACATGGACGGCTTGAAGTTGGGGACCGATGGCACGGGCTGCTGTGAAAAGATCAAATGTGCAAAAATTAGTTGAGATGGACACTCAAACATACGAACTACACAACCTGTTCCAAAGCAGTTGGGTAAGTATGTGGAATGCTAATAAAAATAGAAAGCAATGATTAGTAAATTCAGCTCGGCCTGTTTTGAATCAAGTACAAAAACTCAACATTTCATGTTTTACCTTATAACCCTCATTGTTATTGTTAAATACAGGTTGATTCAAGAAGATTCATCCAAATTCAAAGTGATTTCACTTGTAAATCATTACAGATCAATGCAGTGAACTGTAAATGGTTTAAATGAGCATAAAGTTTATTATGTAATTGTTCAAGGTCTCAGTATGAACCTCCTCCAGCTGTACAGACAACATCAACACCATAGTCAAACTCATCCCATACTGGATTGAGCATGTCGGGTGTCGCTGCACTCACGGCTCTTTCAGTGCGATTTCGGAGATCATCCAGTGTTGTGGAACCAACGACGAACGCTCTGAGCTGTTGGAGCTTCACTGCCCACGAAAATCACACTGCACAGTTATGACGGATTCACTCTTATTGAAGTGGAGAACGCAGAACGCTTTCTGCTCAGGGGTCTCATCTCCTCTCAGACTGAAGGGAGCCATCTTCCACTGACAGTCAGAAACTCTATGACCCCCTCTTTGAATTGGATTGTGATTGGTTCCCCGGCCCCTCACGGTTGTAAAAATATGGCGCTTTGAAATCGGACTAATCTTTTTGAATCACCCTGTATATTCTTATTCTAATTATGATGCCAGGAACACATTGCAAAAAATTTGGATGAGGAGCGTGTTGTTCAAAAACAGGTCAAAGTAGATTTATAAATCATTGCTTTCTGTTTTTATTTGAATTTTCCCTCTCTTTGGAACTGGCGTCGTACAAAAACTGTCTTTGCTGCATGATAAAAGTAACGAAGACAGTGTGGAGGGTATAAGAGAAAAGATCAAAAGAATGAGGGACGGTTTTATTTTGAACTGCCTTTCATCATTATTACACCCCCAAGGAGTTAAAGTAATGAGTCAAAGGCACAACCAACTTCCAAGTTACAGTGAGTCTCATGCTGATCCTGAAATATCCCTGAAGCAAAGGACAGATCTTTTCTGATGTTGTCAGAACTCCCACTGACTCATCGCCTGGAACAATCCCTGATGGATCAACGGCATCCTGGCACTTCTGCAACCACCTGGATATCAAAGTCTTGATCGCTCATGAACAAAGCTCTCAGATAAGGACAGGCTTGCATTGAAAAATAGAGAAGAAATAAAACAATTAGACCTAATTTAACCCTTAGGACCCAGACTGCACTTTCCCTCTTTCCCTCAAAATCACACAAACAAGCCCTGAAACACACTTTGAAGATAAATAACAATAAATATGACAAATATGATTATAAAATGAATAATATTTAGCTCTGTCTTATACTTTACTTTGTTTTTTAGTATTAAAAATATCAGATATTAATTATGCAACTCAATTTGTAACTAAAAATAAAGCCTGTCTTGCTGTGTATCAGTTTTAGCACTCAGCAGAAATCCAAGAGGATAGAAAATCAATGAAAAACATGTCCACCTTATGATAATTGTTTATTTTTACTAATAATAACAACTAATAGAATGAATCACCATCAAAATACTTGCACTTTCAGCTCACAGACACTACAGACTAACCATTTCTGAAAAGATAACTACAACTGCACTTGTTTTCAAGATCTCTATAATTAAAAACATACAAAATTTAGCAGGCGCTAGGTAAATTTTTGATCAAAAAATACCCAAATTTATAAAGATATCAAATTTACATGTCAAACAATGGCATATCTGAGCAGCCCAGGGTCTCCTGAACATAACAACATATAGCATGTGTGACTGTCTCATGTGAATACTTTATAATTGCAACTGTAATTGACCCAAAATAACAAAGAAAATCCCCAAAATATTAGGGCTCTAAGGGTTAAGAAACAGGCTGGGCAGGTTTCCGCCTTCCTGTGACTCCCAGTAGAAGACAAGCTTGAAGAGAAACACATTAAAAAACATTAGAAGGTGCTGATCAAAGCTTGCCGAATACACACAAACCCAGCTCATTGTAGGGTCTTATTTTCAATAATCCTCCACACAATGAGACTCTATCTGTTCCCGACAGCTGAGGAGGCAACGGCTTTTCTGCAGGGTCAGAAGATCCCTTTCTTCCTCCCCTACCCCGGCAGAGAAAGCAGAGAGACTGATAAAAAGCTAAAGGCGGTTATTCTCTCTCTCTTTGCCAACTTTAAAGAACGAGGCAAAAGTCTGATAGGAAAACAAGAAAACACACAGCACATTACTAAACACGTGCTGATGTTACCAAACTGCAAAGCAGCTCCCTGAAACGCTGCCTCTTTGTCACGGATTCATAAAAGGCAGTTGAGAACGAACTGCTCTGGTGTGTTTTGAGGCTCCCTGCCATCAAACACTCAGCTTCTCATGTGTTAAACAGCAATGTGTTGAAGCCTGAGGTGCTGCAAGCATCATAAGACCGAGTGCACATGGCTCTGCTGTGCTTGGCTCAATAAAACTGCAACAGACCACTTATTTTACAACAATTTAAACTTTATATTCTATGTTTTTCCCACTTCAGTAGAAATCTATAAATTGTTTCACTGTTAATTTTAATCCAGGATATTCTAGGAGATATTATATCGCAATTTTTCAAGACATTTTTACGGCACACACCATGGCTACGTTTACACATCAGGTAAAAGTGGCCCAAATCCGATCTTTTTCCTCAAATGTGACAGGTGTGTGTCTGTGTGGCAGTGTGAACAGCAAAAACACACAGAATCTGACATTTTCAATTCTGATTTGAGACGCTTCATATGTGGCACTGAAATCCGATACGTATCCGATCTGTGGCAATGCGACTCAGTCTGAACAGCCAGATCAGAATTCATGCGACTTTTACGTCAGTCCAACTCAACATTCGTCATAATTTTGCGCTGCTGAGACTCAAACATTTAGTCTGATGTTTCTGTACCAAAAAACTAGAAGAGGTTTCGAACGCAGCGCCCGAATGTGGCCGGAGGAGCCCGAGGCTGCAGCGTCAGAGAACAGTTTAAAGAATCTGAGGACACGAACCAAAGAAGCGGCCAAATAACGAGCCCTTTTTACGGCGAACTCAAACACATTCTGGGTGATGAGTCCAGCGGTCAGTCATTGGAACTTTATAATCGCTCCTCTGATGCTGGCGAAGATGAAACTGAAACCTGCGGAGAGTGACTGGCGTTCGCTGGCCGTCATGATTGTTCACCTCTGGATGGGCCACATGATGCTCTGTTCTTTTGTGCATGTGGGTCAGTTTAGGAGCTGATCTGTTCAGACTGATGTCGCCTACAGATCACATTTAAAAGATAATCTGAACAGACAAACAAAAAAATCACATTTGGTGATAAAATCAGATTTGGGCCACTTTCACCTGCTGTGTGAACGTAGCCATGATACTTAGTTTTTCTGAGATTTAATAAAGTGGAACAGATGAAACAGAATCTAAAAATACTATAATAATAATAATAATAATAATAATAATAATATCAACCTGAATCGCTTTTCACTGTTCATGGAAAAAACCTTGGATAAAACTTAAGACATGAGACATTTTCTCGTCTGTCTCATTCTAAGACCCGAGTTAATGCAGTTTGCAGTTTCAAATTCATGTTATGTAGCCACATATTTCAAACACGGAATCCAGCAACGGAATGTTCACGGAATCCAGCAACTGCCCACTGCCTTCTATTATAAATGAGTTTAGTGTCAACACTTCATAACAAATGTGGAAGACAGACAGTGAAAAATGCTGGAACGTTCCTTTAGGTAAGAGTTTCACTGGGTGTTGTTTTTCCCACCCAGCCGAGCCGTCGCCAACATGTATTTACTCAACGGTACCAATGATGAAAGGGCAGCAACCAGAACACCAGCAGACAAAGCTTCACACCAAATCTTCTGAAGCTACTGGCCATCCGGCGTGGTCAAATGTTCACCATGAAGGACATGAAGCACAGTGGTGGGCGAGAAGAGCCCAGAACCCTCCTATCCTCCCCTCCCAGAATGCAGCCAATTGAATCTGAAGGGTCACCATGAAGTTGTAGGCTTTGTATCCAACACCGACTTTCAAAAGCTTGCCTTTGTAGCTGTTTTAGCGAGGGCTGAGCTGAGGGTGTCTCTAATTTCTAGTCCCAACACTGATTCTGCTTGTGTCAGCCCCCAGAAAGTGGTTTCACTTACACCGATTCTGCTTTCCCACTGGCTCTTGGCTCGGACATTAAACCACAAAATGGACCGCAGCCCTCTAAGCTGACCTTTACCCCTAATGGGTCTTTATTAAACCCTCCAACTAGCAATTTGCGCAAGCCACCCAAAAGCATTTGCTTTTCCCTTGAGAAAGCACTTTCTTGACGGCTGATGTTCTCAATGAGAACAGATCTAATCATCAGCGTTTGAATCAAATTCTAACCTCGTCAAATCATGGGTCAATACGATTTCCTCATCTCCCGAAAGGCTTGGAGAAGAAAGCTTGCTTTGTTTTGCTGTAAAAGCACTGCGTCTGGACATAACAGCTATAATTAAAGAGATTATCCCCAAATGTGTTGCCAGAGAGTGGATTAAGTCAATCCTAAACCCAAAAGACTGGGCCATGTCATACAAACAAGGCAAGATAATAATCTACACAAGCAGAAATGCTGCAAAACGACTTTCCCTGAAACTCGTCACGGTGTGGAATTAAAATGCGGGTTAGTCAATCACACTGCGGACGCACTTGTGCTATGCTTGTATAGTGACAGCAGCATCCTGGTATTTAAGGTTGAGGTCTGAACTAGTACTGGGCGATATGACCTCAAATCAATATCACGATTAACTTTTTACCTCGATTACGATTAATGAACGATTATTTTTTGTATTTTTTGCCCTCATAGTTCACTGATGAGGTTTGTACTGTAAATATGTTCTGCATATC